GGCTCAGCAGCCAGGCAGCTCTCGACTATCACTGTTGCTCCTATAGAGGGCCACAGTCTGGTTTCCAGCAGCTACACAATCCAGCAGCCTCCTGTGAATCTAGATCTATGGGAACCAACGCCCTCTTCTGGTCACCACGTGCACATACACACACACACAATCTTAAGTATTTTCTTAGAAGCGTGGAAATTAATCACTGGGAGAAGGAAAATAAGTCACAATGATTCACTACTACATACCCAACAGAGAAGCAAATTAAAGTGTCTATAGCAAGGCCATGTGAGGACAGGAATAGGGAACTCTCACTGCTGGTGAGAGTGTATCTGTACATCCACTGTAGGGAAACTGTTTCTAAAAATAAAATGGCATAACAGGGAGAAAATAATGTCCCTTGAAGACACTCATTGTAGGGCAGTGGTTCTCAACCTGTGGGTTGTGACCCTCTTTAGGTCGCATATCAGATACTTATGTTACAATTCATAACAGTAGTAAAATTAGTTATGACATAACATAATTTTATGGTTGGGGGTCAACATAACATGAGGTCAGAGCATTAGGGAGGTTAAGAACCACTGTTGAAGGGGCTGGAGAGATGGCTCAGCAGTTAAGAGCACAGGCTGCTCTTCCAGAGGACCTGGTTCAATTCCCAGCATCCACATGGTGGCTCACAATCATCTGTAATTCGTTCCAGGAGATCCCACACACTCTTCTGACTTCCACAGGCAGCGGGCACACACATGATGCACATTCAGACATACAGGCAAAACAGTCATACAAATAAAAAATAAAATAAAAATATTTTAATATTTTTATGTGTTTGCCTCCATATATATATGTGCACCACACGCATGCCTGGTATCTACAGAGATTAAAGAGAATATCAGATCACCTGCGACTGGAGTTAAAGACTACAGTGAGTTACCACATGGGTGCTAGAAATCAAATCTGGGTCCTCTGCAAGAGCAGCCAGTATTCTTTTTTTTTTTTAATATTTATTTATTTATTTATTTATTTATTTATTTATTATGTATACAATATTCTGTCTGTGTGTATGCCTGAAGGCCAGAAGAGGGCACCAAACCCCATTACAGATGGTTGTGAGCCACCATGTGGTTGCTGGGAATTGAACTCAGGACCTTTGGAAGAGCAGGCAATGCTCCTAACCTCTGAGCCATCTCTCCAGCCCAGCAGCCAGTATTCTTAATCATAGAACCATTTCTCTCCCTGGGTGGATCACTTAAATAAAGAAATTTGATAATAAAAGAAGTTACTTAAATCAAAGTAAATAAATAATAGAAGTCTGAAGCAGGTAGGTTATGTGGTCACAGGCGGAGACTGGAACGAGAAATGCAGGAGCAGATCCCTTAAAGAGGAGGTGGCTCTGGGGACGTCTGCTTTCAGTCCAGTGAGACTGACTCTGGTGCTGCTGAAATTATTCCATTCACTGGGAGATCATATCTGGAAGCAGAAGACAAAATGCAATAGAGGAAGACATACAGTGTCCTTCTCTGGCCTCTGCATGGACATGCCAATGTACGTGTGTCATATAACACATAGCAAAACAAACTAAAATCAAAGCAAGTGAATAAACACAAAATGAGAAAACTAATTTAGCTGGACAGTGGGGTTGCACGCTTTTAATTCCAGCACTTGGGAGGCAGAGGCAGGTGGATCTCTGTGAGTTCGAGGCCAGCCTGATCTACAGAGCACGTTCTAGGACAACCAGGGCTACACAGAGAAACCCTGTCTCGAAAAACCAACCAACCAACAAATAAATAAATATGAGTTTTGCTTGGTTAAGTCACTGTGTCCGTGGCAACCTTAGGATTATAGGATACAGTGTCAAAAGACAGTATCTAATAAACCAGAGCTTATTCACACTCATAGCCAGCAATTCTACCTCAAGTGATCCCAGTGGAAAGAATTTGCTCACAAAACAAAAACACAAACATGCACAAGAATGTTCACATCGGCTTCAAATGGGACCATCTCAAAATATCCATCTAGCATGTGAATTAATGGTGTATTCACAACACAGGATACTACATAGTAACCAAGACCCATCAATTTCAGATAAGCACAAATGGAAGAAACTCACAGAGTATCAGCGAGCAAAGTAAACCAGACACAACACAAAAGACATAAAAAATTAAAAATAAAACATTGTAGCAGCTGGGTGTGTTGGAAGGCAGGGGCAGCTGGAACTGGTAGAAGCCTCCTGGAGAGATGGTACTGTATTTATTTTCTGACATAAGGTTATAAGATTATACCTTACTATACGGTATCATATGTACTTTTCTGAATGTTCTATTAAATGACTCAAATGTTACTCGGTGATGCGGTGGGTTTTACTGTCATTGTTCTTTTTTTTTTTAAACATTTATTTATTTCCTTATTATGTATACAATATTCTGTCTGCAGACCAGAAGAGAGCACCAAACCCCATTACAGATGGTTGTGAGCCACCATGTGGTTGCCGGGGATTGAACTCAGGACCTTTGGAAGAGCAGGCAATGCTCTTAACCTCTGAGCCATCTCTCCAGCCCCTGTCATTGTCCTTTTTGACACAAAGTCTCAAGTAGAACAGGCTGGACTCAAATTTGCTATGTAGTTGAGGATGGCCTTAAACTCCTGAGTCTCCTGCTTTCTCCTCCTAAGCTCTGAGGGTTAACAGGCATGCACCATGCTTGACTTGAAGATGCTACAAACAGGCAATGTCTCTCCCTTCACCATCCTTGGGCTTCTCCAGTTTATGCTAATTGCTCAGTCAGTCATAGCTCTCTGGTCGCTCTGGACTGTGAGTCATGGAGTCCCCAGTGTGGCTTGTTACCAGAACAGGGGCTCTCAGGGTCTTCAGTCAACCCGGGGACATGAAGGTGGAATAGTTGCTGTCAAGCCCCCCCCCCCCACTAGACCTACCTCAGTCACCTTATATTGTCATTCCAAGGCCCCAAGTCTCAACTCCCCACAGAAAAACGTGGAGGTAGGTGGAATGCAAACCAAATGAGGGTGTAGGTCTTTTTTCCCATTTTATGTCTCTTAGCTCCAGTCTCTACATCTCATTCAGGAATGTTCTCTGAGGCCTTGGAAAGGGCTGTTCCACCCAACACCACCACCACCACCCCCACACACACACAGGGACCATTCTGGGGAACTCCTCATTCATAGGCCAATCCTCAGCTCTGTTCCTCTGTGCAATAAGGGACCATTATCATCAAGCCCCCACAGGATCCTATCTCCAATGGCAAGATCCTGTCCACATTCTGCCCCACAAAATCCTGATTCTGGACTTTTGAAGTTCTTGGGCTGCCCTCACAGTGCTGGTCAAAGGCACTTCTGGGTGTCAGTCACCTCCAGTACCCAACATTGACAAGCCCAGGAGAGCTCTGTGGAGCATGCACCACCGTGGAAGGCTCTGCCAGGCCAGGCAATGCCTCAGGCTCACACCACTACAGACTTCCGGGAACAAACTGCACCTGCACGGGCTCCTTCCCTCCAACACAGGTTTATTTCTTTGTGGTGCACATGCCAGGCAGAGGTGATGGGGTGAGGAGGGGGTGGGGACTCCTGGGGGGTAGGGAACCGTCACAGAGAGGCATGGAAACAGTGGGTGGAGCTAGAAACCTGCCCAGGCAGAAGTCACAACCTGGAGTTGAAAGGTCAGAAGAGCAGCCACAAGGCTTGAACAGAGGCACATCCCGGAAGTGAGGTGGGAGCCAGACTTAGGCTAAGGCAGGTGACAGCTTCCACCTTCCAGGTACACATAAAACCCAAAAAGGAGCCTCAAAGCTAAAGTGTGGTAAATTGTGTGCCTAAGGGTTCTCTGAAGGCAAGGGCAGGAGGATCTCTGAGTTGGAGGAGGTCAGCCTGGTCTACACAGTGTTTCAGGCTAACCAAGGCTACACAGTAGACCCTGTTCTCAATAAACTAACAAAACAAAGCCCAGGCTCCTCTCGGGTCAGACAGTTAAGAAGGGCTACCTAAGTCAGCCTCCCCTCCTGCATGGGCACCCAGCAGATCACAAGGGAGCTGGCTGGACTAGCCTCCCTCCATATCCTGGACAGAACTGAACCGCCAGCATCCCTGTCCACCAACCAGCAGGGGTCCAGGAAGGAACCTAGACATGGGTAAGCTCACTTCTCATCCCAGAAAGGGACAGCCCCTGGAATCTGTACCCACTCACCTCCCAACTGTCAAGTCCTCCTCCTTAGGCCCTAGGGATGGAAGACTTGGGTTCTGTGTCAGAAGTTCAGTCTCCTTCAGAGGAAAGGGCAAGAGTGCTCCCACAGCAAGGAGTGCTTCAGCTTCAGAAAGATGAGGAGGGGGAGGAGGATCCCTGGCTGCCTCTCCTCTCCAGTGTCCCATCTCCAGGGCTCCATCAGCTCCTCTCCCTGAGCAGGCTGAAAATCCTGGGGTCCTCTTTCAGAGTTCAGTTCCCAGCTGCCACTCCAGCAGCTCACAACTACCGGGAACTTTAGTTCCAGGGGATCTGACCTCTCAGGCTTCCATAGGCTCCATGCATGTGTTCGCACGCACACATACACACACACATACACACGCATACACACACACGCATGCACACACCCTGAAAAGAGCTGGAGAAATGTTCAGTGGTTAAGATCACTGGCTCCTCCTTCAGAGGGCCCAGCACCCTCACAGTGACTCAGGATATCCAACACCTTCTCTGGCCTGCTTGGACACCAGGAACACATCTGGTATATGGGCATACATTCAGGCAGAAAATCCATATACATAAAATTTAAGAAGAATTTCCCTCTATAAACATACAGAATTCTACAAAGCATGTATGAACAGGGCTGGGAGTCAATGACTCCGAGGCCTTAATTCCTTCTTCGACAGTTAAGGAAAGTGAGGCCCAAGGAACGGAGATCCCTAAAGCAGCAACCAGCAAATGAGCCAGCAACTCCTTCAGCCCTAACATGAGGCCACCACATGAAAGACAATCTTTCCCCTTGCCCACCAATAAAAAGTACTTAGCCTTGATGCCCACCTATGCCCTTTCCAGGGCAGTTTTATTGGCGCAATTTGTAAAACATCTTCCACCAGCCCCAAGTCTTTGCCTTCCCTTCATGAGAGAGTGGCTAGTTCTGGCCCGAGCTCTGTATACAACACTGACCTCGAATGGCTGTGGCCACAAAACCCACGTGATACTCTGGGTCAAAGAGTCCAAGGGCAAGGTTGTCTCTAGCTCCAGGGAGCAGGGGAAGGGGATGAGAGGTGGATGATGTCTGTGTGTATATCACACAGAGCCCTGGCTGGTTACATGAGTGAAGGGGCAAGGTGAGCAAGCCCCATAGGCACCCCAGTGCCAGAGCCCACTGCTGTGGCTGAAGTCCTGATGGGGACAATAAAATCTGAGATCCTGAGAAAGAAGCCCTTGGGCTAAAGTGTGTGGGGCCAGCCAGCATCAGCCCAAGCTGAGAGACATGATGTGCAGGGGGCTTTGGTGACTGTGGCTACACCTCCCTGCTTTGGGGCTCAGCAAACCAGGCACCCAAAGTTGAGGGAATCCACTTGGAGGGGGGGAAAACTGGGAAGGAAGCAGCTGGAAGTGGTTTATGCCTCAAAGCCCACATCCTATAGGAGAGGCAGTCAAGGAACTTGCAGATCTGACGCAGTCCTCAGAGCTGCTGAAGTGATGGTCACCTGGGGACAATATAGTCATCTTCCAGGGAAGAAGGTTGCCCCAAGACTTGGAGCTGGGGTCAGTCCTGCCAGCTCCAGGATCAGGAGGCCTCTGTCCCACGCCGTCCCCCTTCCTCCTCCATCAGCAAGAGGCGGCGCCGACCAGCCTCATAGTCAGCCTCGTCCACACTGACCAGCAAGCGGACAGCCTCCCGGCCCACAGCCTCCCGTAGGGCCTCAGTCAGAAAGACACCCCGGAGGGCCTGAAGCAGGGCACCACTCAGATAATCACCCCAGAAGGCATCCAGGTACGAGAGTTCTGAGAATTTGATGTCACACACTACAGAGCCCAGGTCCCTTGACCGCAGCACAGCAGTGGCTTGTCCGAACACATCCAGCTGTCGGGCCAGTGCCTGAGGTCTCCGGGACGCTACACCCTGCTCCAAGGCCGGCCCATGCTCACAGTACTCTGCTCGAACCCGGAGCCGGATGTCTGCAGGAGAAGGAATGGCTCATTAGTGGGCACGACAGTTCTCTTTCCCTCTGTTCTGTCCCCTTCCCAGAGCCACACCATGGGTGTCTGGATACCTACTCCTCTCTGGGAGGCCTGGTCTGAGATACTGTACCCACCTCCTCACTGCTCCCTGAATCACCAAGCAGGTTCCATCCAGTACAATATTGCCTCTCCCTACCAAGGGGTATTCTTTCCCCAATTCCTACAATTCTTTGCTCCAGTGATCCTCCCAGCGAGGTCCACCCAGATCAGGACTACTCTAGATCCACCCACCAGCTCACTCTCCTGCAGCAAGTCCAGTTCCCCAGATCCAGCCTGGTTTTCCCAAAGGTACCTGTCATCTTCTAACCCACTGCAGCAATGGCATCCCAAGTTCCCCAGATAGCAACACCCTGAAGGCCTGTGTTGCTCAGTCACACACCCTGGGGTACCGAGCTGGTGCTCAGTGTTTGCAACTATTTGTGAATGAATCAGTGCATAAACCAAGGGACCTGGCTCTTGGCTGTCAGCCTCAGGCCACCTCTCATACAGTGAGAGTCCAAGATAAAACAGCCCATCCTCCCAGCAAGCGCCAGGAAGCAAGGAGCCATGGCAAAGCACAGGAGACCAGGCTCTGCTGTAGGTACAGTGCTCTTTCCATACAAGGTAAGATGACAGAGTAGTAAGCCCAAGGCTGCTAATGGCCACTGGGTCACCCAGAGAGGACAATGAAGCCCACACAGGGCCAAAGACAAAGGGAAAGAAACCCCTGAGTTCATTATGTATCAGGAAGAACCATCAGGAATGGCAGATACCACCATCAGGATCAGTAGATACTACCATCAGGAATGGCAGGTAGCACCATAATCACCAGCAGGTACCACCAGGAGGATCAGTAGGTACCACCATCAGCATCAGCAGGCACCATCATCAGTTCCCACTTTCACTTAGCCTCAACCTACCATCTGCCCAAAGGAGGTGGCAGCTCCGCCCAGGGGACAGAGAGAGGGCTACTAAAGACAATCCATGCTGGCATGAGTTTGGGCTAGTAACCTCTTCTCTGGAGCATCTACATCCCCGTGGGAGGCTGTTAATAGTGCTGCCTCTTCATACCCAGCACAGTTGTGCAAGGTCCAGCTAGGCTTGGGGACAGCAGCAGCCAACACTTCTAGAACACTGATAACTGCCAAACATCCTGGACCCCAAGTGCCTAAGTCATGACTCCACTCACAAACAGCCATCTGAGACAGGCCCTATTAGCACCCATTCACAAATTTGGAAGTGGAAGCAAAAAGAAGCAAAGAGAGTAGCCCAAAGTCACATGGCCTGGTAGAGCCTCCTAGATCCAGACAGCAGACTTCTCTCCAAGGATAGAAATCATTGTAGCCAGGAGTTATTAGACCGCCGCTGTACCCCTGGGCAAGTCAGAGCCTCTGCAAACACAGGCCCAACCTAGACCAGGGCATCTCTGCCTGAAGAGCTGTTTAAGAGTGGGTAGGAAGCAACAAGCCATTGGTGAAGCCGAAGTCACAGCACAGTGAGTACTCCTGAAACCGTAGCAGCCAACTGTGAAATGCCAAGTGACTGGCACATGCCCTAACCCTGGGGTCAAGGGCCACCTTCAACCCAAGGGGAAATCAAAGTCCTGGGAAGATGAGTTGTAACACTTGTGGGCTCCTGTCACCTTTCACAGCAGTTCAGAGAGAGTGGAAAGCAGAAGGCAGGTCCCCAGAACCCCAGATAACTTCTTACCACACTCACTTCCTCCCCCACCCGAAACCCTTCCTCTTTCTGCCTTGAGGGGAACCCCATCCTCTCCACTGGAGGCCCAGAGAAGTTGGCCCAGCCTCAGCTCCCAGGACTGCTCTTGGGCCAGGCCCCCATCCCTGACTCCCATTAAAAGCCTCTGACCACTCCTTCCCAACTGAGGGTGGGGACCAGGGAGTGGAGAAACAGAACTTGCCCAAGGCCATGTGGGGTTGGGCAGAGCAGAGGCAGAGGCTGCTGGTAGAGTCCCACAGACCTGAAAGTGAGTCCCAGCTCTGCCATACTCTAGCTGTGAGGCCTTGGGCATGTGACCTCACCTCTCTGAGCCTGTTTCCCCATCTGAAAAACACAAACAAACAAGAGGTCCCTGCTGCATGGTAGTCACACAGATTAGTGAAGCAACTGGTAGAGTGCCTGACTGTGGGGTTTACAGCACACGAAGGCCACAGATTTAGGAACTGTGATTTCAAGCTCCTGCCCAGGCCCTCACCTCTCCACGTCAATCTCCTCCAGCTCTCCCAGCCACTGCTCCATCCTCCCACTCACTGCCTTGTGGCCACCATGAAATACTCCTCACGCCCTCAAGGAAGGATCTGCCTACCTCCTCTGCCTTGAACACATGCATTTACCCAGCAATGCACAGCATAGGGGGCTCCCTTCCAGTCCAGCCAGGCCCTTCCCCGACCCTTCTCCTCCACAGCACAATTACTGAAGCAACACTGAAGTAAGTCGTCCAGCTACTCAGAGCCTCTGTCATGAGCGGCAGACACAGCACAGAGATGCCACACACTCCCTCACTCAACAGTACCAGAGGATGCTTATGGAATACCAGGCATCCAAGGATGAAAAGGGTATGCAGCCACAGGTGGGGCAGGGAAACAAGCTATCCACGGCTGCCCTCCTCCCAGGCCAGGCCATCTAATCCTCAGGTACTTTCATTACTGCCCTTTACAGAGGAGGAAATGCTCTACCGGCCCACAACCCATCTCTGATCTGGAAACAGATCACAGCCCAGGAAGGCAAGGACAGGAGGCTCCCAGTGAGCTCCGCCTGCCATGGTTCCACCCTGGCTCACTGCACAGGCTTCCCCGTTGGCCCTGAGCCAGCATACACGGATGACACTCAAGTGACTCTACTGTGCTTTGCCCAACACTGTGTGCATCGTGTCCCTGAGCCTTCTGATTATCTCCATGGCTTTACAAGGCAATGTTGTGCCTCCTGTCTGTGGATGAGGAAACTGAGGCACAGAGGATGAGTCACCTAGCTAGATCACTCCAAAATTCTACCTGAGGTGCCCGGCTCCATTCAGAGCCCAAGCTCTTAACTACCCGACCCTGTCGGCTGCCTCTCACACAAGCATATATAAACAAGTAATTCATAGGCATTCTAAGGCCAGGAGGGAAAATGATAGGCAGGGACTTACAATTTAGAAAGACTGGCTGGGCAGTGGTGGCACCCGCCCTTAATCCCAGTACTTGGGAGGCAGAGGCAGGTGGATCTCTGTGAGTTTGAGGCCAGCCTGGCCTACAAGAGCTAGTTCTGAAATAGGCCCCAAAGCTACAGCTAAACCCTGTCTCAGAAGAAAAAAAAAAAGGAAAGGAAAGGAAAGGAAAGGAAAGGAAAGGAAAGGAAAAGAGGACTTTCTAGGAAATGGTACTTGAAGCAAAACGTGATGGAGGTACACTGGATTAGGCAGCAAAAACCAGAAAAATGGGTAGGGTGGTGTTTCTGGAAGTTAAGAGCATTCCAGAATATACGTGGAGAAAAAGTGCTTAGGACAGCCACCAGCTGAGGGGACAATGCAGCTGGAAGGTGGCAGAGGCCACTGGCCACAGGCTTGGTCTCATTTAGCAGCAAACCAATGTGTTGCAGACATCTCAAGGTGACCACACCTCTCCATACCTCAGTGGTTTCCCAGCAACATGACCCTCAAAGGGCCACAGTGAGCACTGGGGCCCCAAGTATGACTGACATGTGAGGGTAAAACCACCTGCCTCAGAGATGACTACTACAGCTGCTTCACGTGAGCGGTCAGTTAGTGGGAACAAGAACAAAGCCACAGAGAGGCATTCAGGAAGGAAGCGGCAGGCCTGGTTCAGGCTGGCAGTGATGATGGCCTGGCTGGAGCTGGCTACAACATCTCTACCTTGGCAGCAGTGGGAACATGCAGCTACCCCAGGGACTTGAGCACCTCCTTATTCCCATCTCATGTCGGGGGGCACAAAACGATGCTGAAGAGAAAGGGGTTTCTCAGGTGGACATCAGGGTAATAGAGGGAACAGGTTCCAGCCTCCCTCAGAGTTCCTGGTTGGGTGGGTGGGCTGGCGACAAAGATTTATACTCTCACAGTCTAAGTGACCTCCATGAGAATACACACCACAATAAGGGCTCCCCTCCAGCTGCCTGCTTCTGGGTCCTGACTGGAGTCATCCAGTCTTTTCTAGAGTTATTTTTCTTCCTGAATGCTAACTCCTTCCTCTCCCACTCAACTAGACAAGAGAAACTCCCACCAAACTTCAGAGAACGTAAATAACCACTGCCTCTTGATGGAAAAAAACACTAAATCCCAGAAGAGAGCCTGGAAAATATAAACACCAGCAGAGAGTGCTAGAACATGCCTGGAATCTTATCATGTAAGGATAAGACAAGAGGATTAGCCTGAGCTATGTGTTATCAATCTAAAAATTAAAAAAAAATAAAAATAATTTAAAAAACCCAAAACTTAAAAAAAAGACATTGTATCTGTCTAAAGAAATAAGTAATAAGACAAAAGACAACTGGAAAGACTGTAAGACACACAACACACGAGATGACAACAGCCATAATGACAACTCATGAAGAGCCTGAGAATTATTAGGTCACTCCATCTGCTGGTGTATATTTTTCATTAAAAAGTTGGGCCAGCAAGATCAAAAACACTGATGACAACTTATGCTGGAGAGGTTGTGGGGAAAAGGGACCGCTCCTGCATTGCTGGTGGAGTACAAGCTGGTTCAACCCTTTTGGATGTCAGTGTGGCGAGTTCTCAGAAAATTAGGAAGCAGCCTTCCTCAAGACCCAGCAATATCACTTTTGGGTATATATCAAAAGGATGATCAACTGTGCCACAAGGACATGTATGTGCTCAACTATGTTCATAGCAGCATCGTTTGCCATAGCCAGAACCTGGAAACAACCTAAATACCCCTCAACTGAAGAATGGATAAAAAAAAAAAAAAAATGTGTTACAGCAGAAAAAAAAAATTACAACATGAAATTTGCAGGCAAATGGATGGATCTAGAAAGCATAATACTGAGTGAGGTAACTCAGACCCAGAAAGACAAATATCATATGTACTCACTCATAAGTGGCTTTTAGACATAAAGCAAAAGAAAACGGCCTATAATGCACAATCCCAGAGAATCTAGACAACAATGAGGACTCTAAGAGAGACATACATAGATCTAATCTACAATGGAAGTAGAAACACAAGATCTCTGAGTAAACTGGGAGCATGGGGACCATGGGAGAAGGTAGAAGGTAAGAGGAGAGGCAGGGAGGGGAGTGGAAAAAAATATATAGCTCAATAAAAACAGTAAAAAAAAATTTGGGCTGGGCAATGGTGGACACACCTTTGATCCCAGCACTCAGGAGGCAAAGACAAGTGGATCTTTGAATTCAAGGCCAGCCTGGTCTACAGAGTGAGTTCCAGGACAGGCACCAAAACTACACAGAGAAACCCTGTCTCAAGAAAATAAACAACAAACAAACACAAAATAAGTTGGAAGCTGGTGATGTTACAACACACTTGAAGCCAGAGGCAGGAGGGTCAGTTCAAGTCAAATCTTGGCTATATAGCAAGTTCCAAACCAACTTGGGACACATGAGACACTGTGTCAAAAAAAGCTCCTCTCCCCGCAACAAAAGAAAGAAAAGAAAGAAAGGAAAAGAAAAGAAAAGCAGAGTCAGCTCTGACAGCTCATGTCTGTAACCCCAGAACTCAGGAGGCAGAGGCAGGAGGGTCACCAGAAGTTCAAGATCAATCTGGGTTACACAGCAAGCTCCAGGCTAGTCATAGTTACACAGCAAAACCCGCCTGGCCCACTCTTCTCTCTTAGCATCTCCCACCTCATCATCAAACCGTCATGGCTTCTGCACCACCCCATGACCACCACAGGCATGTACGCATGCAGGCTTCTGATCCAGCTCACCCTCCACGTGGGACGGTGGGATGCTTCCTGTCTGAAACCTCTGACTTGGCTTTTCTTCCCACCAGAAAAACAGCTCAAGAGAACAAGGCCCCCCCGCAGGCACTCTGTAGATAAAGAGGGAACAAGCCAGAGCAGTTCCTGCCCGGCTCTGTTGCTGCCACCTCCTTCCTTTGACGTTCATTCACATGGGCACAGTGGTGCACATGGGCCCGACTTCAACAGTCGTCTTGATAACCAGAGGTCAGGTGAGTATCATGTCTACTGTTCACTGGACGGCCCTAAGAGGTGTGTAGACTTGGGCCTGTGTTCAAACCCTGAGTCCCAACTACCTTCCTGACACCCGCAAGTGCTCAGTAGCTTAGTCTAGTTCTGTCTGTCTCTCAATGGTGGCAGCTCGGCGTCAATTGTTTTGGGTATGTTGGGGCAAGAACAGCCCAGCCCTTCCTTAGTCAGACCCGGAAGGGTTCAGTGCCATGTTAAAGGTTAAGTCATCCCCATTTTTCAGGAGAAAAAAATGGGGCCCAGAACCTAACCAGCCCCACCCTCCTTGGTGACTCAGCATCAGCAAGCACTTCATGGTCCTTCAGATTCCAGCCACACCCTGACTAACAACCTCCTGGCCTCGGGGAAGAGACTTGAAGCCTGGACGGTCCTGCTCCCCAGCCCTCAGGGAAATGGCTCCCTAACCTACCCAGCCAGCAGGGTGGCTGTGATAATTGCCTGACTCCCTGCACTGGGCAGCCACCCCTTCAAGTCAGCACCCTGTGAGGACACAGGCTGGCTATGCTCTATGCTCCTGGCACAGGTATCTGTCACCTCATCTCTGAAGTAAGGACAACACCCACTGCCTAAGAGGCCACACAGCATTGGGAGGAACAGGTGTGAGCATGTACTGCGCTCCCTGTTGTGTGGACATGGACGGGGAGAGGCACCCTGGACTAAAGCCTCCTGTGTATTCTACAGACTCACAAGAGCACATCCTCCAGCTTCTATGTCTACCCCAGCCCTGGCCTAAGCATGTTAGCTGCTGTCAATAACCTCCAGCTTCTAGGAATGCCTTCTTAGTGGACTGGATGCTCACCTGATGGCGTCTACTGAGGACTCCTGTCCCTCCACAAGGGTGTTCCTGCAGACCCCCCCCCCCCCAACCCCGGGGCACTTGGCCCATCCCAGGCTTTGTGCCAGCTGAGATCACAGACTACTTTGGTGTAGCTGTGGTTATCCACTTAACACACTACCATATAAGCTCCTAGAGGCCAGGGACTTCCCGCCCTGGTCTAACTCTGTGTCCTCATCAATGCCTAGAACAGCACCTGATAAAGAAGAGATGCTCAACAAGAAAAATGATATGGAAGAAATGGGTAAGTAAACTGCTCTGGGGTTCCTGCAACCAAAGAATAAAGTCTAGACCTCCAAGGCTCCAACAGCAACAGCAACCCCACTGGACACGGCAGAGGTCATACAGGGCCACCTGCCTAGCTTCCCCTCAAGCTCCCTCAAGCTCATCCTGAAAGCAGCAGCTCTACAGAGACTAGAGGGCTCCCCTCACCCCACTGCCTCTGTGTCACACCAGCCTGGCTGCTATTTTCCTCACCATGTTTGCGTAGCCTAGACACTGGAGTCTGAGAGATTGTATCTGAATCCTTTCATGTTCCCAGGTCTATCCAGCCCAAGCCCAAGGAAGGAGGGACCAGAGAGGGCTGTCCTCCCCAAGTCTCACCCCCCAGAACACAGTGAAATATCTCAAGGGCAAAGACTGATCCCAAGAGCCTAGGATGGAGGTTACATGCCTACAGTACTATCATTGGGGAGGTTGAGACAGGAAGATTCCAAAGTAAAGTACAGATTTGGTACTATATATTTGGTGATTTAAATATATGTATGTATGTATGTATATAAGTATATATACACATATGTGTGTGTGGATGGATAGACAGATAGATAGATAGATAGCAGAGGGGGAAAAAGAAAGAAAAGAAAAGAAAAGAAAAGAAAAGAAAAGAAAAGAAAAGAAAAGAAA